TGGATAGTAATCCATACCACTGAAAAATCAAGCAACCCATATAGTTAGTTCTAATGAAACTAATATAGCTAGTGAACTAACTGTTTCTGAACATTACTTCTAATAAAACTAATATAGCTAGGCCTTGTTTAGATGCCATCCAAATTCCAAGTTTTTTCACTCTCTCTCCATCACATCAATTTTTAGCCGCTTGCATGGAGTATTAAATGTAGGTAAAAAAAATAACTAATTACACAGTTTAGTTGGAAATCACGAGATGAATCTTTTGAGCCTAGTTGGTCCACAATTGGACAATATTTACTAAATAAGACGAAAGTGGTACTATTTATCGGGTTAAAAAATCTGCAAAGTGAATAAGGCGCTAGTGAACTAACGGTTTCTGAACATAATAAAATGACAACTAGTGCATGACTATGGAAGCAGGGAATGTGAGCTCAGCACTGCCTCAGGGCCTGTCACAGGTACTACTACTCTGGTCCAGTCAAAGTATTGCTATGGAGACTGGAGTCGAGGCGCAGCGTGACAAAAGTATCTGTAGAATTTCTCCATCTGTTACAGTAAATTCTGCAGGAAAATCTGTTGGAGCCATGTCATGAGTAAAAGTCCAGCAGAGAGATGGAGATGGGCAACAGATTTCTTACTGTCACAAGGCAAGAACTCATGATGATCAGCATTCAAGCGCACGTCTTCTCTTCTCCAGTGCTTACAGTATTTGCTTCAATCCTCCATGGTTCCATCATGGCATTTGCATTCACTTCAAGATTTGGCTGTTTTTTTTGTCCTATTTTGGAGTCAAATTTCAAGAATCCTCTGCGGTAGTACCAGATCACCACTTTCTTCCATTTTCTTTCGTTTTTCTCTGTGTACTATACTCCACTTGAGATAGGGAGCAGTGCAAGACTTTAGATAAAAAAATGGCTATTCTCTCCTCGGCTTAAAAAAATTCTCAATTTCCGAAGAACTAAACAATTTTAAAATTGATTAAATCTATAAAAAAATACTATCATTTATGATGCCAAAAAAGTATTAATCATAGAATGCATTTTGCTAGTAAATCTATATAAAAATATAAATATCGATACTATTTTTCCCATAAATGTAGTCGTCACAGTGATTTTGAGCCTAGTTAGTTCAATGATTGAAAATTTGTCAAAAAAAATGTAGAAAGAGGTACAGTGTGTCCAAATTCTAAATTCCGGGTCTGATTGGACATGTTGAACTAGCGCGCGTTTAGTTCAAAAAACAAAAGTTTTAAAATTGATCAAATCTATAAAAAATTACTGTCATTTATGAGATAAAAAAAAGTATTAATCCTAGAATGCATTTTGCCTAATTATCTATGATTGAAATCTATATAAAGATATAAATATCGATACTACTTTTTCCCATAAATGTAGTCACACAAGATTTTAGGGCGTTTAGTTCAAATCTCAAATTGCAAAAAAAAAATGTAGAAAGAGGTACAGTGTGTCCAAAATCTGGATTCCCGGGTCTGATAGGACATGTTGACCCTGAGACAGAAGCACTAAATTGTATAATTAGTTTTAATTTCGTTAATCCTACTCCCGATATATCGTAAGTTTAATAGCAGGCCTATCTTTTTCTTGTATAGTGCCAAATTTAGGAAACATGGCCCTAGTCGTTCCTACTCCCGTGGCAGAGGTCGGATGAGGCTCCCGTCCGGCGTCCGGTCAGCCGGTCATGGGTCAGCAGGCCTCTCTCCTCTGCAGTGGCACTGCAGGCTGGATGCATCTTGGAACAGCAGAGCAGCATGGATGGCTTTGGATGTCAATTTTTTGTTGGGCAGGGGATGGAAGGGACATCGGAACCAGAAGCAGGGGCCTGTCAACATCCGCTGGATTGCTCTGCTGTCCTACAGTATGAGCATGCATTACGAGTACAGTACTCCTAAGATTTGCACAAAATCGGTTAGATTTCATGTCAGGAGTAAAAGCCTTGAGATGGATGCCACCAGTTCGACTTCGGCTTACGTGAGACTGGTTCAGTCAACACTTGAAATAAAAAACACGGATGCACCGTCAGTTCAGTTGGAAATAGCAGCAGGGTATCTTTTTCAGCCTAAAACCTTTCTCAAACATACCAATTTGATTGAAATAAGGCCTTGTTGACACTATTAAATTTTGAAAATTTAGCTCATTCTCCAAATTCTGTTGCCCATCTGTTGGAGCCATGTCATGAGTAAAAGTCCAGCAGGAAAATCTTGTTTAGATCACCTCCAAATTCTAAGTTTTTTCATTCTCTTTCTGTTATATTAATTTTTAGATGTATATATAGAGCATTAAATATAGGTAAAAAGATAACTAATTATATAATTTGGTTGTAAATCACGAGATGGATCTTTTGAACCTAGTTAGTTCATAATCGACTCTAGAGGTTTTATCAAGGATAACAAAGCCGAAAGCATAGTGGATACTCCGTAGTTCGGCAGAGATGGCAGTCCTAGCTGACACTGACAGAAGAGCACTCCAGTGGTGTACTAGAGCCGTAATGGTGTCGATCAGTCCTACACTACGCTACTATGTCGGTTGAACACACCTATTATATATACTAGAGAATTAGAGCAACGTTCATAATAAAGCTAAGTGCTGGACTATAACTCAAGTTATAAAAACCAAAATCAGCTTAATGTAAACACACTTATTATTTGTCTACAAATTTTTTATATTGTTATATATTTCCATTCTCTTTACTATTCCTCCTCACGTACATCCATATTAGACCCTGCTACCTATGCTTCTATGCCTAATTTAGTATTTGCACGAGAGTTAAGCTCTCTTCTCTCTCATTCCTTCTCTCTTCCACATCAGCAAAAATATTAATTAGCTTGGCTATAAGAGCTGTCTCACTGAGTCAACAGGTCGTGGATTCAAAGTAGCCTCTCCACATATTTTGCGGGGAAAAGACTTGCATTGGTTTTTCTCTTCCTCGGACCCACTCATGTGGGAGCTTCTGGCACTGAATCTGCTCTTTATAAATCAATTATTGTACTTGTTCTTAGACTTAAACAATAGCGTCACAGTGCGAGGCCAACTAGAGCTTGTTCGTTAGAAGAAATTTGGATGGTTTGGAAAAATGCTGGAGAAATTTGTGAAAGAAAAACACTATTTCAGATGAAAAAAAAATAGATCAAATCGGGTTTAAGGACACGCGAACGGGTCCAGTAAGCGTGTGCAACAGGTTTGATAGTAGTGATAATTTTTTAGTGGTTGCTGATCAGCTACAACAGCCTGAATATTATACATATAATAAACAGTTAATTCTCTTCTCTAGCGGAGGAAAAAAAACACAAAGGCACCGAATTGTCAGCTAGTGAGCCGCTTCTCAGTTCTCACCAAACAGGAGTGCTGCAAGCTACCACCAAGTTATTAAAACGACCAAGGTCTGGTTTAGATTGCAAGTTTTTTCACTCTCTTTCCATCACATCAAATCTTTGACACATGTATATAGTATTAAATGTAGATAAAAAAAATAACTAATTACACAATTTGATTGTAATTGAACATCCAAAACTAGTTAGACCATGATGATAATTATCAAATACAAATGAGCGTTTCACAACGATTATATACAGCCTAAAACAGCCCAAATGAAAACAGGCACATCCAAAACTGATGAATGCATTTCACAACTATATGCCAACAGTCGCAACAAAATTCGAGCCACCTCAACTACAGTACTACACGCAATGGAGGACCGTTTCTCCACCTTCCAAACAATAAATATCCCAATCAGACTCTCATTCCATTCAGATTGTCCATAGTTTTCGCTTGTTTTCCTGTCTAAACATCTCTACCAATTAAATTTATGAATTGTACAACAAATTATTCTGCCTAAACATCTCTGCCAGTCAAATGTAAAAATTGTACAACAGGTATAAGCAGAAACAATCACTAGTCTTATTACTGCACATTTCCTACTTAGGGCTTGTTCGATTGATTAGGAATAGGGCCCTGAAATAATTCCTAGCTGGAATGATTCAACAATTTGTACTAATATTTAGGAGCTGGAATTGTTCCTGGTGCATTCCGAGAAAACCGAACGGACCTCAGCAGAAACATGTCTGCTACATTTCCAAATCTGATATTTCAATGCCATAGTTTACATTTTCTCTATGCCCCAAGTCTAAACTCATCAATTAATGAAGTATACGATTCTACAGTAGAAAATATGCAAATACATGAACAAACAAAACCAATTTGACCCATCCGCCTATCAACACAAAATTGAGCTACATTTTTCCTTCCTTAAATCCTCCACAATCCAGAACATCAAATAGAGTCTGTCACTCTCTTCAAATTGCCATAATGTACACATTTCTTTGAGCCTAAACACCTCTATCAATAAAACTGTAAAAACTATAGAAGCTGTTCTGTTCATCACAAAATTGGGTAGCATTTCACTTTCATCTTTCAACTGAAAAAATTGAATTACATTTTGAAATCAGAAACATCTCTGTCAGACAGCATTCTCTTTTAATTACCCATTGTCTGTTTGCTCTATTTAAACATCCCTATCAGCCAAGTTTAAGAATTGTACAACAAAACCAATGACACATTACAGAAACAATCACAAACCTCATTAGTCATTACACATTTCCAAATGGGGAAGAATATACATTTCCAAATTCATATTGCAACAGCAGACTCGTTATGCTTCCATTGCCCATAATTACATTTTCCCTGTGTCTGAAGTCTATACTCATTGAAATCGTTGAAGTGTACAATTGCCCTACACAGAATACATGAACTACAAACCAATTTGATCCATTTGATCAATACAAAACTGATCTGCATTTACCCCTCCTTATATGCTCCCCATCCTGAAACATCTATGACAGCCTCTCACACTCCCTTTTAATTGCCATATTTTACACACTTCTCTCTGCCTAAACATCTCTCTAAGTCAAAATGTAAAAATTGTACAACAATGAACAGATTACACTAACAGCTACTAGTACACGTTACTGACCTCCTCAGTGGTCACCAGTAGAGCTTCACCGGCGGCACCTTGAAGCCCGGCGCCTCGTCGAGGAACGGCACCGCCTCCGGCCGTTCCTGGAGGTCGCGGTAGAACTGGTACTCAGCCTCGTAGTCGTGCAGGTCGAGCTCCTTCTTCTGGTTGGTGTGGTAATGGTGCTTGGCCCCAGGCGCCTTCCCGAACCCGAACAGGCTGACCTCCTCGCACGCCCCGAGCGCCATGACCACCGCCTGCAGGCCCGACGAGTAGTGGAAGTAACTCTCGTCGTGGCTCCGGGTCCAGTTGCTGGGCGGCTGCCCCGTGGCGGCCACGAAGCGGCGCATCGAGTAGTACTTGGCGATGCGCGCGCACAGCGCGTCGAGGCGCGCGTCGGTGACGAGGAGCGGGAACGGGGACTCCGGCGTGGCCGTGGCGTTGCAGATGAGCGCGTCGAGGAGGTGCGCGGGCTGGCAGACGTACATCGCGAGCGGGACGGCGCGGCCGTAGGGGTGGCAGCCGCATCCGGGCGTGGTGACGGCGGAGCGGACGGCGCAGTGGTGGAGGATGTTGGAGTTGACGAAGGAGATCCCCGTCCGGGCGCCGACGTCACGCGCGAAGCCCGCGACGCGGGCGTTGTTGAGGCGGATGACGAGGTCGTGCGCGTCGATCTGCGCGCCCCGGCGGGACCCCAGGAGGATGCCGCTGTTCCCGACGACGGCGCACGTCGCGGCGCGCCGGCGCCCCGGGCCGAGGAGGAGCGCGGGGAGGTCGGCCATGGCGCCCGCGACGTCGTAGCGGTGGTGTTGGCGCGCGAGGAGGAAGCCACGGAGGGAGGCGCGGAAGGCGGCGAGGAGCGCGGCGTCGCTGGGGACGCCGTGGAACGGGACGCGGAGCCGGGACACCGTCCGCTGCCGCGGCGCCGAGGTGGCGTTGCTCCGGTAGGGGACGCGCAGGTAGAGGAGGCGGTGGTGGTTGCCGAGGCTCGGGAAGGTGGACACCGATGCGTTGGCCAGCAGCGCGGCCGCCTCGGCAAGGATCTGGTCCCCGCCGACGTCGGTGGCCGCGAGGCGGCGGAGCAGCGCGCCGCTGCCGCCGCCGCGGTGGCGAACCGGGGCGCGCCGCCGAGGGGGAGGGGGAGGTGGCGGCGGAAGGCGAGGGACAGGAGCGCGAGCGCGAGGAGGAAGAGCACGGGCGGGAGGCGGCGGCGCTTCATCTCCGTAGGCGCGGGCGCGGGCGCGGGACCGGGCGCGGCGGGCGGCCAGATCCGGCTGCTGCCATTAGTAGGCGCGGTGGGCCGGTGGTGGCCGCCGACGCGGGGAGCGAGGTGAGGTGGGGTGGGGGAGAAAGCTCCGAGACGGTGGGGCCGGGCAGCTTGGGAAGATGTGATCCTGGTGGGCTGAACGGAAGTGCCCCCGCTGACATGTGAGTCTGAGGGAGCGGTGGGGTCCACGTGTCGGTGGTTCGATTCGGTAGCTAGCTTGTTAGTTGGGCAACGGTTGGTTTTGGGTGAGTGAGATGCACTCGGCACTCTTGAGGGTTGACTGACTGTTCCAAAAGTGGACATTTTGAGTGAAAAATGGTAATTTAGGCGGCGTGAAAACGGAGAAAGGCGCTCGAAATTTGAAAATCAAACTGTATTTGAATTTGCTATAGTAAAATGCACACTAGTCCAGGTTGTAGTAACCAGACGACTAATCTCCGGCCATTTGCGTTGTTTTTTTTTATAACAGTTTGCGTTGTTTGTTGGAGCCTGGAGGAACACTATGACTCGTTATCGTTAAAAAATGGTTGGCTCGCCCGATCCTAACTACTCATTCTGGCTATAAACGACGGTAGTTATCCGTGTCCACACGACCACGGTCTTGAAAGCACGACACTGTTGACAGTGACAGTGCCTCCTCGGTTAGAAAAACTGAAAACACCTCAAGCTGATTGTTTTTACGGTTGATAAGTCGACTGATGTTGTTTTGTTATGAGAAAAACATATTATATCATAGCTGATAAGTTGGGCTGATAAATTCAAGTAAACAGGGTGACATTTTTTTTCATCGAGAAGGTAAACGTTTTTTAACTTTTATTACTAGATTCGTAAAAAAAATAGTCAATAATATAGCACAATTCCTAACAAAAATCGAGGCTCTCCTCTCTTTAGTATCTTTTATTTTAAGAGAAAATTATTTTGTTGGCTTTAAAAAAAGTTTCGCTTTTGGTCCTTTTATTTTTACAATTTCCTATTTGACTTTCAGGCTATTTTTAGTTTCTTATATGGTCTTTTCTGTTAGTTTTGGGATGTAACAGTGTTAAATCAGGGACAAAATAATGATTATGAATCACTGCAAAATTTAGTTTGCATGTGTTTAATTTTGAGCAATATTTCACATGTTTTAAACTTATCATAATTGTATAAGGTAAGGAATATTATGTTTGAACATGGAACTATTTTGTCCCTGACTAAATATTTCTCAAAATTAAACAAAGATAAACTAAACTCTATATTGGTTCATTTTTCGTCTAGGGTAAAATCGTCATTTTGCTCCTAACTTAACACTGTAAAATTCTAAAACTAACGGGAGGGCCATATAAAGAACTAAAGATAGCTTTTGGGCCAAAAAAAAGTAACTTCAAAATAAAAAGTCCAAGATAGAAGACGTCAACTTCTTTTTGAGGACCAAGAAAATAATTATCTCATCTTTTAAAGTTTTCCCTTTTTTAGTAGTACATCCTTGCCACACTTAAGTACGGGGAGCTCACGGTGCACGATTGTTAGGACGTGATTGGTATCTTGCTTTGGTCCTCGCTCTATATGTTTTTTTTTTCTGTGAAACTAAACTAATTTATGTGAAATTTTTTATATGACTCCTATGAAATTTTTAGGTTCTAAAGGGGGCATAAAGGATACAACCTCTCGCCTGCTGTGATCTTGTATACCATACCACTACAATCTTTCTAGCCTTCCATCCGTGCTCGTGGATTTCCTTTTGAAACCGAACTGACAGTGATATTGTTTGTTCAAAGGGCCACGTGAAACTAATGTTCGTTATTTTCTATAGAAAACTCCGGCACACAAAAAAGGTGTAGAGCTATCATGGGTTATCCTCCTAGATTAGCCATTTAGGCAGCACTTTAGTAGGAGACATTCAGTTCAGCCTCTCGTGGCGTTCCGTTGAAATTAAGTTGAAAGAAAAATCATTTAGCCTCACGGTGTACCTCATGTTTGAAAAATAAAAATTTTCTTTGTATATAATTCTAGGTCTTGTTGAAGCTATGATTTTCATATATAATTCGGCTCTGTCGGGGTTCTTATGAACAACTATTATTTTCTTCACAAAATGTTGCAACCAGTGACTGAAAGTCACTCCGTACTTTTTTCACCACACCATGACCAGGTGTTACATGTGTATATTCATGATTTTTTGTATTTTTTTAAAACAAAAGTATATTTTTGTCCTTTTTAAATCTGTTAATATGAAGAGATAAGTTTTGATTTCCGTGGGAAGCCAAAACAGCCGTCCAAGCTGAGCTTATAGCCCATTTAAAATTATAATTCGTTTGACTTTTTTGACTTCAAGTTTGACCATTCGTCTTATTCCAAAATTTGTGCAAAATATCACTTCTTTGGCTGTGGCTTGCTTTATTAACAAAACTTCTTCAAGAATGACTTAAATGTGACTATGTTTGCACAAATTTTTTGAATAAGACGAATGGTCAAACTTGAGGACAAAAAAGTCAAACGAATTATAATTTAGAACGGATGGACTATCATTTAACCCACTTGTAGTTGAACCCCTTAGCATATTCAACCACAAGGGAAAAACAGTTTGCAATATTTTTGCTAACTTATTTCCATTTCAATCTCATGTATCAACTTTGTGCCAATAATTTAAATTTCATCAAACAAATTCATATTCATATTTCTAAACAAGAAGCAAAATAAATTTTATGTGCAAGAAAATGACATTTCTTTGGATGTGGTTGTATCTAGCTAGTAGGACCTATACGAGTTACCACCAATTGAGTAACTAGATTGTTAACCAAAAAAGGCTGTAGCCATATTCATGTTCTGGGCTAAGTTGTCACTTGTTCATACTAAACAGGATCAAGTATAAGGTGGTGATTACATGACATTTTGTGTTGCCGTTAAGGCCACTTGAATTTCTATGTAGTATTAGTCATCACCGTAGTATGATAGCTTGAACTATCATTTGAGTCTTGGTATTCCCTAGAAATTTAAAACCTAACAACTTGTCTCTCTTGGCAGACAAAACTATTAAAATTACCTCCCTGCCTCAATTAGAGGTGGTTTTCAAGGCAGTTTCATCATTTTTAGTCCAAAAAATCGAATAAAAATCCTAGTGAGGTTTTTAAACCACGAAAAAACTTGAGAAAAACATCCTAGAGGTAGATTGGGACACGTGACACCCAAATAAAAATATTTAGAGCCTATGAAAATATATCCATAAGATTCCAAAAATTAAAATTTTCTTTGGGAAAATGAGAAGGATGTCGAAAAAAATCTGATTCTAATTAATTCTAAACATCTTTTAAAAACTTTCCACTACAAAACTATGGGATGTATTATGTAACCAGCATGAATGCAACATATATTCATATTGAATGCATTCATGCTAGTTGCCTCTCATATCTCTGTTGTGCTAGGCGTCTATTCAAGGGAGTAGAATAGACTTTTCTTTAGATAATGAAAACAAGTTTCAGCCTCTACCATCCTATGATGGTACACAGTTAAGGGAGTAGAATAGAATAACTACTCCCGCCGTCCCTAAATAACTGTCGTCGTTGGTGTGCGTGCCACAAGATTGACTCGATTTGTAGAAAATGTTGGAGGGAGGAACCCCCGGCGCAGCTCCCCCCTGGCCCTCGATCCGGCGCTGGCCTTCCTAACTTGCCTCGTCGCGGACAGTAGCCTCTGCGCTGAGGGTTCCCATTGCTCGTTTGTGTACTATTTTTGCAGCCAGGCAAAGGGCACGAAGGTTGACCACGCCTTGAGAAGACAGAAGGAAAGGAGCCAGGCAACAAGGGCGGGTAGACCTCCGCCGGGGACACGCAAAGGTCAGGCGTCTACCGCAAGAGGGACCATCCCAACGGGGGAGATAGCCCTGTCAAGGCGATCGGGCCCGGGAGTGGTTGGCCAAAGGAAGGAGGTTACCGCTGTGCCCTTGGCGTTTGTGGAGTGCTCTTCCTTCGAGATCTAACCCTAGTGTAATTTCGCCTCGTCTCCGGGTATGGTCTATAAATACCCGGAGCGCTCGTGTAATAAAGAAGAGAGATCTTTTCCGAACAAATTTATGGGTATTTAATCCATATTTTTACATCATCTCGTACTCCACTACCCTCGCATGTCTCCTCGAGACAGCCTAGTCATTTCCTTGTGGGAAACCCTCGGCCTCTCCCCCCGTGCCCCTCAGCAAGGGTGAGAGGCTAGGAGTGACCCCACAGATGGCGCCGTCTATGGGGACCCCATTGTACCACTCATCAAAACAATGGCAGCGACAAGAAGAAACACCTAGAGGGATCCACCCCTGCCATGAGGGTCGGATACAGTGGCAGGAACCTCCATAGATGGAGCTAGTGGAGCCCCAACACAACAACCCACTGGTCAACCGATGGGGGTCCCTTAGGGCCTGAATGAGCCCCTAGCGGTCGGGACCAAAGCCAACCCCCAACCCAGCTCGGTCAGGGTGGAGGAGGTTGAAGATGAGGACGCAGAAGCAAGAGGCCTCGAGGCCCTGAACCGAATGCATGAAGAGCTCCAAGAAAA